AGAAGGAATGAGAAAGGTACTCTACTAAAGAAAAAAGGTCAGTAATTTACAGGGTACCATTTAAGTGAGATCTGGGTCATGTCAGTTCTAAACCTTTTTTATTAGTTATTGCATTTTGTATTTCATGCATGCATCATATTCATCGTCTCTTTTATATCTGTTGTTACATGGAATGGAGAAGCGAACTTCTGTGAGCAGCAATACAAAAATATCATGGTGGAATAATAATGAAATACTACTAGCATTGTAATATTACCTCAGTAAACTGAGTAGTAAGTAATGCTAATAAAAGAGCCTTTGTATCAATATAAAATAAAGGTTAGGGAATTTATTTATCTTGCAGTAACTGTTAAGAAACAGAACAGTGGAGAAACTTTATGTAAGGAGCAGTCTGTACGGCTCCTTACTGAGTACTGAGAACTGTGGAGAGGCTTTTCTGCCAACTAGTGAAGCCCCCGGCAGCTTCCCACCCAGCATAATGCAGAGGTCCATCCCTTTACCCAACCTTATTTTTTATGTTGCACACACATTGCTTTAAAATAACACCTGTGTATTTTACACTCTGCTTCACAATACTGTTAGCTGTCAGTGAGCCCTTCTTTCAAATGTTTTATTCATGCGTCATTTGACTGTTCGTTTGCTAAGGGTTTACAAATGCTTCATCAATTATTAACAGTCTTGATACCTACTTCATTTTTTTGGTTGTTTTTATTTTTTGAGGAGGTGTTTGGAGGGAAGAGAACAGTACAAATTTAAGAAAGCAGAGAGTAAGATGAGAGTTAAATAATTCACATCTACTTACTGCATATTGTAACCAAGTTAATTTTTAAAGGAAAACAGTTATAGCAGAGATGATTGAATTAAGTGTTTCCCGTTGTTTTTAAAGAGTATAGAACACCTGTGTTTACTCCTGAGGCATATAGTATGCTAAGGATATTAGCTTGTATGCTTTCAAGAAAGAGAATATGCACAAGATTGAAAACAAAATAAAGCGATGTATATACACCTGTCTAGCAACTTAAAGTGGAATTCAGTGGTGTCCCAAGGGTTGTTCAAGGAGTGAACATGTCCTGACCATTGTAGTGAAAGCGTAAGAAGAGGTAAGTTCTGGCCTTTGAATGAGTATGGATTTTAATGCATAAATAAGCTTTTCTAATGTGGCGCATTCCTTTCACACACATGTATCTTTTTTTTTTTGAGAAAGTTCTTTTGCTTTCCCTGTGGTTCAGCTGCATGAGCAGTCATCCTGGCAAGACTAACTGCTGATATCTCTGAAAAGGAGTGGGGCAGCTTTCCCATCTCCCTCCGTGCGATAGTACCACCCGAGTGCCGGGAGAAATGGGAACCGTTGTCTGCAGACAAAGCTCCTGCAGGAGGAAAACTGAATATCAGCATCCGGATGAGCCACTCATGTCCTACATGCTCCACAGAGGAACAGGTAATTGTGACTTTTTTTTTGGCTTGAACACAGGAAAATAATTTATTTTCATTAGTATTTATTCTTAGTTTACAAGTAGTAAAGACGGTTAAATGGATCATTGTAAGTATTGTGCATGGTCTTAAGTGTTGAAACATTGGAGTTAAGGACTGGAAATGGGAGAAAAAGACGGTCCTGCCCCCTGTTTTCTGCAGCTGTGTAATGAGCTGCGTGGGACTTTGAGGGAGACGGGCAATGGTGAGGATGGGGGAGCTCCTGATCCGATCCCGGAGGACTTGCCTCAGAGCAAGCGCTGAACTCTGAGGGAAGACCAAGCTGCCTACCTGGAGCTGCCCCTTCCACCAGGCCCCGCCCCTCCATGCACCACAGCCAGTGGGCGGCCAGATCTTCCTGCCATCATCCCTGCCCCAGCCAATGGGAGCCCAGGATTTTCCCGCCCTCAGAGCGGGCGCAGCCTTAGCCCCTACACTCCACCTCCCCTCAGGCTTCCAGAAAGTTCTGGAGCGGCCGCCTGCCTTTTCCCACAGCCTGGGCCTGCCCCGCTCCTGAATTGTACTTGTCTCCCATAAGCTAGAGGAAGCCCCCGAGGTGCAGCCAGATGCAGAAATCCCTCTCGTAGGATTTTTTTTTCTCTGAGATTTAGTTGGGTGACTGTAATGATGTCTTGGGTCTCATGGGTGTGACTGACTGGAAGAAGTGGCCTGAGACAACCCCAGCAGCGCCGCAGGCTCTGAGCTCACCAGTGAGGCTGTGGGAGCACAAAGTGGAAAAGGTTTGCTGTGTGGAGGATAGAATGGGGGATGAAATGTCTTATTTGGTGCTTATGTTGTTCTTGCTGCCAAAATGCTGTAGTTTAAAGCTGCTTAGATGTGTTTCTAGAGGCTGTGCTCGTCTCTTTGACTAATATATGGATTTCTTTTCAGACTGCTCCCTGAAGCATACGGGGAGGGTTATCTCCACTGCAACGTGATTCATGTTACATTTATTATTTTCTTAATAAAATTCACAGAAAGGTTGGAATTCTGCTTTATTCCAACCCATGCTCACATTCAGTTTCCATGCTCTTGTCTCTGTTATAAAATACAAGGCTTGATTTCAACTCTTCTTACGGGAGACAAAAATTCAGCACCCATTCCTTTCAAATTTGAGCAGTTCTGCAGTTTAGTCCTTGAATGTTAACATACAAATGAGAATGTGACCTTTGTGTGAAGACTCAGGAAAGCCAAATCTGGCCTCTAATGGGCAGGTATCCTGACCACAGAAACTGTCCTCTAACTTGACATTAATTAGTTTTCTTGTTAGCAGTTTCTGAAATGATGCCCTCTCTAGGGTAAATATAGCAGCTAATTAATAGAACTTAATTTACACAGTGCCATTGTAATACCCGTACTAATATATAATCACAATCATAGCAATATTAACAGTAATATTAATCTTTTGTTGCTTTGTCACCCAGATACTTATTAATTCTGCTGTAGCTGATCAGATTTGCTAATCTTTACCGTCACAAAGGAAAATCAGCAGTATTTTTGTTATTTTTAGATGCTGCTGAGCTTATTGCTTAATTTAAAATGTTTGCCTTCAACTCTTAAAATATAAATTTTTCATTTTAGCTTAAATTATTTTCTATGATGTATTTTGTATTTTTCAATTACCTTTTTGACTTGCAGGCAACCAGTTGTTATACCAGAAGATTCCAGCATTAATATTTTTGGTCTTGAAGCTTCATTTTATTTGATGCTCTATAAATAAAGTTCTCATGAAGTATTTATGTACTCTAACCCAACTAGGGAAGGAGAGAGAAGTTGTGGGTAAGTAATGAAGAATCAGATACCATTTGTCCTTTTAAACATTCTTAAAATGGGAGAACGTGTTTTAAAAATTTCTGGATTTTTAAATCCTGCTGCTAAAGGAAAAGAAATACTTGGTCACTGCATAAAACCAAGAGCCATTTAGCATCGTTTTACTCCTTAAATCTTTTTTTTCCCCAGATTGATACATTTGTGACACTTTCTAAATAAATTGTGTTTGAAAATCTGCAGAGGGCTTTGTGGTCCCATTATCAACAAAAAATCTTTTTGAATTATATGTAATCTAATATATCCCTGACTGACTCACATATGTGTAGCACTTACCGTACTATGAGGAGATACAAAATACTTTCATAGTTCTGTTGTGCTGCTGTGTGTTAAAAATCACCTTCTCAATTATGCAATACCTTTTCTTTCACAAGTTGCTCTCAGGTTTACTGTAGTAGATTCTTTGTATCAGGCATTAGCATCAGTTTCTCTCTCCATTTTTCTTTATTTCAGCCTGAATTTGCAAATTGCCAAACATCTTCCACACTTACTTGCTGCAGTGAGAGCTGAGTTGATGACCCCTTTCCAGAATTGAGCTCACAGTTCCTTTCTGGAACCAGGTCTCTGTTGCAAATCTGTGGAAAAAACATACGTGTCATGATATAATAAAAAGATGTTTCTCATGCACATATATAGCTCTTTGAATATTTTCTGTGTCTTTCAGCTTCTTCCACTGTTTCAAATTCTTACCTTTTCCATGGAGGGGTTTTTTTTTTATGACCCTTCACCATCTTCTAAAGACATTTATCCTACCTGTATTGAATATAATCTGATTTATTCTTGCCCCCACCACCATTTTATAAACGTTTTTGAAACACGTGGTTATAACAATAAACTATGATTCAGCACATTTTCATTGCATAAAAATCAAATTTCAGTGGCTCTGATTACTCTTTATTGTATTGAGATCAATAGATGGGAGAACCCTTAACCTAGCAGCGTGCCACAGTGCCCGACATGTTTTCATAAGAACCATCTGTAAATTCAATAGAAATACTAGGTTGAGGGCACATACATGCTTTGAATAGCAACTGTTTTTTTTGAGCTTTTCCACCTTGCTTTACACAAATTGCTTTTCTAAAAAGGCTTTGAGTCCTTCAGAGTTTGTACTTTGTAACTGAGTAATAGAGAGATGTAGATAGTTATATAATATCTATCAAAATAATGTTTCTCTGCTCATTGAAATGCATTTCACTTCTGTTTCTCCATTATTAACGTTCATTCTAAATCTCACTTGTTGGGATTGCATTGTGAATCTGTTTTTCTTTATCGTACAATTTATGGCATTACAGTGTATTATGTTTGAATAGAAAATTATTTTCAAAATAAGGTTGATCTATACCCAAGTGAGAGGATATGAATTGGGGTTTCTGTTTTGATAAAAATGGAATGAATGTAGATTTGCATAAAAAGGGATAACTGAGATGAAAGATGGATTTTTTTTTTTATGGAACTAAAGGAACTTATGCTTTTTAAAGTTAGCATTCCATTCAGGGTAAGCTGGCGACTTTATATAGCAAAATAGGAGACAAATGATTTGTTTCACATGAACGCTGTTAAAATCCAAGCCTGACTTAAATCCTTTTCTACAGTTTCTAGCACTGGTTTTGGGCAAAGTCAGACGTAGTTAAGTGCAAGTTGAGATGACACCTCTGACTCCAGACTTCCTTGGCTTGAGAACATGTTTTGGTTTTGCAGATGATTACAAGTGGCAAGGAAGCTTAATACTGGTGAAAGACGTTGTACAGCGTGATACCCATGAGCTACCTGATTGTTGTGGCAAAACAACTTTGATTTCCACTTACGTGTTATCACTGACTTTCTGAGCAACAGCCACTGGAATGTAAGTACATTTCACAGGTAATTTCCATCACTTAATTTACAGAAACTTAAGACTTGTGATGTACCACTTTTTAAATGAGAGATAGTATGAAGTTGGATATGCCTGATATTACTTCTCTGTTAGATATTAAAATAGACCACTGGTTGTATGATACTTTGCTAGGATTGGAAGCCCATGATTCTGGAAATAAAAATCATTTTCTATATATAGCATGACCTGCAGTATCCAATTCTACATAAAAGAAAGGTGAATCTCACTGTATTTATGAGAAACATATGCCTTGAAAATGAGGAAGTGCTGCGGAGACTGTGATGGTTGTATCTCTGTAAGTAATTTAGTCACTGTACTCTAGGTAAGTATTACTGTCTTCTTTACTCTCAGCCTGTATAGTGTTCAGTAAGAAGACAATAGATAAACAAGATAAAAGTGAAAGTATTAAATAAAAGACACATAGCTATGATTTTCTATCCTGCATTGTCACAGGTCATGTGATAGATCATGTAATAATTTCATTCAAGAGAAAAAGAATTCATTCAACAGACTATTGAGCAGATGTTCACTAGAATTCCTCTTCTGCTTATGTGTAGTCCATAGAAAACATTATCTTAATTAAGAAACAAATTTATAAGAAACACATTGCATTTGAGAAGCCAAAGAAAAGTGTCAGATGTCTGAGGAAAACACCCTTTTTTTACACTATCTACATGCTCATCATTAATGCGTAGTCTGAAAGCATTCACAGTTCTAAGTGGACCTTATTCTGACAGCACTTTGCCAGGTCTGGAATTATTTTCTGTGCCCATTTGACTTAAACTAACAAAAGTTAAATAAGATTTGCACAAGGTCACAAGAGAAATTAACTTTTCTGCACCCAAACTTACAGGTCTTACAGGGCCATACTTCTTCCTTGAAGCTGTTTCTTGTCAAGTGAAAAATCTCTCAAACATTTTTAGGTACCCATCTTTAAATTAGAAAAGCTGTTGGATACAGAAGAAACAAGGGATATTAAGAAAACACAGTTGGTTTCATCTGCTATAAATGTGCCTGTGGGTTGGTGTAGCCACCAATGTGTTTTGTTTTTTATTGTTATTATCCTTTCTTGTCCTTCTGCTTTCCTTTTTCTGCATTTCTCCATTGCTACAGCCTGTCTTCATTGGCTAAATCAATCTTTCCTGTCCCTCTGTTTTTTATTAAAACCATTGTTGCCTTTTGTTGTATGTCCAGAATTGATCCCTTGTGATAGGGAATGGTTGGGTGGAAGGAGGGCCATAAATAGAGTAAATCACAGCCAAAAGAGCATGATATTTAACAGCTTGGGTTTGCAGCAGCAAAGGGCACATTCGCAGGTGTCACACAGAGTGCTTTCATCGCCCAGAGGGGCAATTCCAACAAGGACTGCCTGCTGCAGAGTACAATGGTGTGAGGTGATTCGTGGGTCACCTGCACACAGTTCTCTTGATGGATTGCAGAAACTTTCTCTTGTACTGATCTTAGCTATAGCCTCGCTGCCTGGGGTTTTCTGACAGGCCTTTTCTTCTACCGGTAATGGACTCTTGCCTCCTGTTCGGTATCTTTTTCAAGCTAGTTACAGAAAATCCCCTGTGATCTATTGCATAGAGCTGGCAATCCAAAAAATCATGCCTATGGTATACTCCTTTATTCTTTGCTCCCTCCAAAGCAGTTGACCGTTTTGCAGCATAGGTACTTGGATTAGCGTACACAATATGTGCTTTGTAGATAACACGATGCACTGTACCCTCACTTGCTGAAGGAATCAAGGAGGGTAGATGGGATTTTGGGTTACTGTAAGGAATGTGATTAACTACCTGATGTGATGTGCACTGAAGTAAGCAGAATGGTTCCAGCTAATTCCATTGGACATAGGATCAGGCCATTTTGGACTGGACCTCAGAAACACAGATAGTAAATTTTAGTAACAGCAGAATTGCAAGGAGGAGAGAGATAAACTTCAGATACCACGTAGACCAGGATAAAACAGAGGTAGCAAAAGAAGTCATTGTAGCAGAGGTCACTAATAAAATTTGACCATTGAATTCTCATCATAGGCAAACAGATCCTTAACCAGCTAAGTAGAAAGCGCTTGTCCTTTACTGACTGCACAGATGTGCACTCAAACACATGCATGATTTGGTAACGATGGACTGCCAGAATGTTGGAACTTGAACTCACTCTAGATGTAGATAATGTACATCAGAATTTAACTGCTCAGCATAATACATGGATAAGAAAATACATCTGTTTTTCTATCAGCAATTTGGAGGCATCCAACATCCACTGGTCTGTAACAGTAAGCACTTTTTTTCTGAATAAAGAGAAATCATAGAGGCATAGAGAGACACAGTTCAACTACTCTTTAAATATTTCATTTCTGTGAAACTGTTGCAGCTCAGAACTCCACACCAATTAAAAATAAGTGAATTATAACAAAAAAATTAGCTATGAGAACATAGGCTAATTGGACTGGAAGGGGAAAAAATAATAAAGTGGATACATATTCTGAGAAGTGCTTACAACAAATAAAAAGGACAGACACTTTGCAGCCTCTCCATTTTCGCTTTATATAGAGTGATGCTCAAGGCAGGGTGATTCATGTGATGAAATAGAGGATCTGAGCAGATAATAGTTTGCCAATTCCCTGAGCGGCTTGCAGGACACAGAAGGTTGTTCAATTAATCCCTCTTGTTTGGATTAATCATGCCCGTCTGTTCTGCAGGAGAAGCAGGGACCAAACAGGAACAAAAGAGATGCCTCTTCAGAGGAATTTTCCTCAGAAAAGAGAGACTTTGAACTAAATCAGTATCCTAAATGCATGAAATATTCACAAAAGTCCCTCTTCTATTCGTGTTCAATCTTTATCATATATTGATTAAAATAAATCATACTCAAGTTTTTAAGCTCTGATATATTAGTTATTATAGTCTCAAATTATCACCTCTGTGCTTTGACAAGGCTTTATGCAGCACTCGTGCTTTCATCCTGGATCTCAGAGGTATTCCATTTGTACTGCTGCTTTTGTGTCTTTCCCGTAGATATTTCTGCAACTTCTTCCATTCTGGCTCCTTTTTTTCAAAGACAGCTCTTCTTTCTTATTCTCTCTTGTCGGAAACCCACAAAACTCTTGGTTCTATTTCTTCATGATTGTGAAGAAATGCTGAAGAACTTCATAAACCAAATGACTAATTTGAACATCATTTCCAAAGTTCATGAGCAAGGTTTTGTTAAGGGATAGATACAGAAATAAATAGGTTAACAGAATAAATTTCTATTCTGCAAATTTCTTTTCAAGGCAGATAGTGAAACAAATAAGGAACCTTCTATGATAGATGCTAACAATTATGTTACTTAGTATCTTAATGTGCCATCTGAATACATGAAAGGTATTCAGATACCAGAAAAAATAAGGTGAGAGTAAGAGAAGGCAGGATTATACAAATAAGGGGTGTTTTTCTGCTTTGTGTTTTTTGTATAAGAAGTATAATCGCTACCATTCGCACCATTACATATGTATTTTCTAAGAATTTAGTGCTCTCCTATATGGGAATTTGCTACTGCTGGTGTACAGTTGCAGAGAATATTCATAACATGGAAGCGTTATAAGGAATGCAGATGATTGTGTTCTTTAAGGGCCATCTCAGCCTCAGCCTTGTTTTGCTAACCTTCATTAATTTGCAAAACACATTTAAGCTTTGGCAAAGGGAAAGACAAAAAAGGAATGAAAATCTACCCTATAAATCATGCTCTTCTCAAACACACTTTGAAGTTTGGAAACAGATTTGCGTAAATAGTTCAAGATCCCTTTTAGCTTTAGTTCTTTTTCCCCGTCGCCTCTATTTGTGTGCACACGCATGTGTGTGTACAGATGCACACACTTAGCACCTGAAGCAGTACTAAGCTGCTGAATATTTTATAAGCCTATGGAAGGCTAGTCATTATGCATGTTCCTTCGTGTGCTTCATTCACAGCTATTTGCAGCTAATTGCAGCAGGACCCTAGAAGGCCCACAGCCCTTATCTACAATAAAGTCAGACAAATCTGCTTTAGTAAATGCAGCAGGGTGAGAGGAGCATTGCCTTGGGTATTTTATTCCACAGAAACCGTAATGTTAGAGTCCTTGCATCTAATTACAAAGGAGATAATGATTAAAAACTACCTAAAATGTTCTTTATGTTTATTTAAAATAAACAATAAAAATGCAATCTCCTACCCCAGGGATAAAGTTCTAGGCAGGAACAAGGTCAATTCTCGAAGATTTGAAGATCTTAAATGAAGGCCTTAGTTTAGCTCATACTTCACTTATATTGATATTGCGTAAGTTTTTTTCCTTTATCTCAATACTGAAACTTGTGAACATACTGAAAAAAATCACAAAATATATTTTAATATGAAAGTTGTTTTTGCATCAAAAATTTCCCAGTGAAACCTGCCAAGCACTAGATGGTCTTATGCTGAAAAATGTTTTTACATTTTAGTTATATGAGTGGAAACATTCATATGAAAGATTAGTTTTGAAACACTCACTCTGCTTTCAAATTGACATAGAGGTAGAAGAAAGCAGTTACTACTTCTGAATTACCTGGGCCATCCTATCCCATTAGACAGAATTTCAAAAATCTAGTATCCTTCAGCTGCCTTTGTTCTGCCTTTTCAGGATCCATACTCTTACCCCTGTGTTTTCACTTTCACCCATCAGCACAGGACATTCACCCCACATCTCAGCAGACTGAAGTGTAAAACTGGGTCAAAATCGAGTATGTGCTTTATAAATCAATCGACAAAGTTACCAAGCCCTGTGTGATGATTTTGAAATGAAGGTGCTACAGAAACAATCTCAAGGGCACTGTGTTGTGACGTATGAAGGAAAGGATTCTGTGGTAGTGCTCTAATTCATTTTAAGTGGATTTGCTCATATCCCTCATCTCTCCTTTCCATCCTTTCTTCCTTATAGAACCTTGGAGATTTGTAGTAGAAGCTTGGAGGTTTGTAGTGTCTATACCTGCCACATTTGGTCTGAAGGCATGAGGGAGAGTCAAGAGAGGAATAAAGTACTGGCCAAGCAGGGGCCGAATTTTCCCTTGGGGAGACTTGTCTCTTTATTGGCATAGCTCATGTTGATAAGAGAGAGGTGCGATTCTCACGTTTAATGAAATTCCTGTAACTCGAGGCAATCATTTAACATCTGCTGTGTACTGAAGATGCATTGAAGGTTATTCTGTGCACCGTGTCCGGTTAAAAGGACCCCTTAGCATCTTCCTGTGGGTAGCAGAAAATCAGAAAATGGTCCCTGTTCCTGTTCAGAAAGCTCAACCAAGCCACGACTGAAATATTTCCTAG